TACTTGACCCTCAACCTTGTAGAATTTGTAATTAATACTTGAAAGTTTTCTTAAAAAAGAATGTCAAATTGATGTTTTCCACAAAACATGGACAAAGTGTCATTATGTAAGGGATTCTAAAAGATAGTTGCAGGAACTGGACCTGTGGTTTCATTAACATAAGGGAAATCCCAAGTAAAGAAATTCCTACAAATGGAGGTTGGTACTGAGTTTGAAAATGATGGTCCTAGAGATTTGCCTAGAGTACTAAGAAATTAAGTGACTTGCTGAGAGTCATGTAGCCAGGACATATTGAAGGCAAGATTTCACTGTAGGTTTCCCTGGTTTTAAAGCTGACTCCTTTATCTTCCATCCATACTGATAGATTTGAGAAGGATTAAATAACATTATTAAGAAAGTATTCTTTGAGTAATATTAGCCTTTGTATCTACTACAAACTCTACTTACTCCTTCGTGAATCTAGGTGTCTTTTTGCCAGTAGCAACGATTGCCTAATTTAAAGGTTATTATCTAGCATCTTTTCAGTAGCACACATTTTGGATTTTTGAATTGCTACCTAGAGTAAAAAAGATATTGAGTGGGAGCTGTTGAGGTTAGAGAGAAAAAGCAGCATAAAAGAGGAAGAGCATTGGCCTTGGTGTCAGAGGTCTTCAATCTGTGTCCTGGATCTACCAATTATTAACTTTATCTTCTTGACCAAGTCAATTAATGAGATTGAGACTCAGTCTCCTTACTTGTAAGGTGAGGATATTAATACTCATACTACCAAATTCTTGGTTATTCATCAGTGAGTCAAATAAGATAACACATGTGTAAAAGTACTTTGCAAGCAGAAATCTCTTTGTAAACTCAAACTCTTTTAGAATTTGAATGGCTTCATGTGGTTTTCATAAATTGCACTGGGCTTTCTAACATGGCATTCTTTTGTCGATTCTGGGAGCATACTAGCAGGCTGTTAGTAGGAAGGTCTGGATTGCTCATTAGTGAACAAATGTTGCGTATGAGGAAAAAAATATCCTGGAAGGAAGGAAAGTTGTGAATAAAATATAAAGCAAAAGAATTAGTCTACCAGGTGAGGACTGTCCTTGAAGATGAGATTCGTGCCTTTTGAGTTCATTTGAAAATGATGATCTCTTTCTCAGAAATCATTTAAGTCAGGTGATGCCTAGGCCTGAAATTCTCAGTTGACCAAATAGCAGACTATATTTGCTACCTGATGTTTTCCTTTGTACAAATGTACACAACTCATTTCACCTTTAGAAACACACCATGAAAACTTATGTTCTTTGCTTTTCGTGAGTGGTATTGAAAATAAAATGGTATAAATTTATCATCTAGTGAATTGGGGTGAATTTTTCCACTTGTCATCTGTTTCTCTGAAGGTGGATAGCATCTTCCTTTATAAGTCCAAGTCTTTCCATATTTTTTTCTAAATCCACTAGCTCATCTTTTCCTATACCACGACAATATTCTGAACCAATCACATTCTATCTGGGAGTTTGTCTATGAGAGTTTTTTCCTGATTTTCTGCATTCCCCTGGGGTGAATTTTTCACCCACCCTCAAACTTTTCCCATGTATGTCTGGGTAGTTGTCCTCACTTTTCAAAAAAGACACTTCCAAACAGCTTTGTAGTACAGTGGATAGAGAACTAGGCTTGGAATCAGGAAGACCTGAGTTCAGACAGCCTTAGACACTTACTAGCTGTGTAACACTGGGTGCACAGCATTAACCATGTACTACATTCCGCTTAACCTCCACCTGCCTCAGTTTCCTTAAGTGTAAAAAGGGAATCCTAATAGCACCTACTTTACAGAGTTGTGAGGATCAACTAGCATAATATTTGTCAAGCATTTAGCACAATGCCTTGGACATATAGTAGGTGCTTAATACATGCTTGTTTCCTTCCCTTTAAATGACACTGGCCACACCCATCTGTCATGGCAAAATGTTTTCTATGACTGTGATATTTTGATAAGCATTATGGCAGCATTATGGGAATATGATAGATTTTATAATTTAGTTGGCTTTCATTTGTAAACCTGATTCTTTGTGTGACATATGTTTCCCTGCTCACAGTTAAGATTGCTTTATTTACTGATTGCTTTTTCTGCTATTATTCATCAGATAATATAAAAAACATTGAGCCAGAAAGCTCAACCCACAGCATAGTGTGCTCTTATTTCCCCTGACTCCATAAACAGTACTTAGAGTGCCTTAACTGAATCTGAAATGTCTGAGGATTTGTGTCTATTCTGAGTGGGCCTTAATTGAGTTGCATGACTAGAATGAAGTTCTCTGTGAATTTCTATGTGTGGAATTGGCTCTTTTCTCTGTCAACTTGTATAAATGTTCTTGAAGAGTACATTTTTGAGTGCAATTTTTCTGTATTTTAATGTAAAATTGGTAAGACCTAACTTTTAATGACATCAAAAACAGACTTGAAGTTCCACTAAAATCTTATTCATTAGGATTAATTGGAACATAGTTAAGAATAAGGGTGGCAGAAGGCCTGTTGAAATTATAGACAAATTTTATCCTATGCTTTTCAACTTGAAGAGTCTCCTCATCTAAATCCTACACAGCCTTTACGACTCAAATAAAGATCCACTTCATTCCCCAAATTTTCCCATGTTATTGTCTTTGGTACCCCTTTCCTCTGAACTTTTAGAGAATTTTATAGTCCATCATATTGCATTTAATTAGAAAAATTGTCTTTTCCCCCTTATGAGGTTATAACCTCCTTCAGGAGGGTATATAAATTATACTTCTTCTATACCATCCCATGTAACCTAGCAGACAGACTACCTGACCCTCTGTTGATACGGACACTTTGTTGAGTGGAGTGTTTTAAAAAAAAATTCTATGCAATTATAAAATGCAATGTTTTTACTTTTGTGAGTACCAAACTGGCAACTATACTTCTTTATAGTACTTTGTTTTACGTACACATATCTGTAGTAAGCATAGAAGAAGTGTCGTGTAGTGGGTACGGCACTGGGCTTGGGTTTAGGAACACCTGAGTTCAAGTTCCACTTTCAATACATACTAGCTATATGACTCTACAAATCATTTAACTCTGAGTGTTGTTACTGTTTGGTCATTTTTCAGTGGTATCCACCTCTTGCTGACCCTATTTTTTTTTTTTTTGGTAAAGATACTAGAGTGGCTTGCCATTTTCTTCTCTATCTCATTTTCCAGATGAGGAAACTGTGGCAAACAGGATTAAGTGAGTTGCCCAAGGGCACTCAGCTAATAAGCTATCTAAGGCCAGATTTGAACATGGGTAAATGCAGCTAGGTGGCTCAGTGGATAGAGTACTGAGCTTGGAATCAGGAAGACTCATCTTCACGTGTCCAAATCTGGCTTCAGACGTTTATTAGCTGTGTGACCATGATCAAGTGAAATAATGATGTTTGCCTCCGTTTCCTTATGTGTAAAATAAGCTGGAGAAGGAAATGGCAAACCACTCCAGCATCTATGCCAGGAAAACCCCAAACAGGGTCATGAAGAGTCAGACATAACAACAATAACAACAGTCTACCAAGCTCTAGGTATCTACTGTATCACTAGCTGCCCTCAACTCTAAAAGGACAAAATTCTAAGAGGTAAATTTCTGGGGAAGGTCTGATCTGCAATGAGACACAAGTATTTTCATACTGGGATTTCTATATACCACTGAAATCACAGCAAAAAGAAATTAATGTTTATTTGCATGCATATGATGGTTTTAAATGTCAAAGGAGAGTTTGTTAGAAAGGAAATAGTGGTCAATTTGGAAACAGAAGACTTGGGTTCAAATCTTAGCTTAGCCACTTAGAATATGTGTGACTTTGAACAAATCACTTAACCTTTCTGGCCTTCACTTTCCTAATGGGGCAAAAAACTAGGTAACTGCTAAGGTCCCTTCTACTTCTAAGCATATGATCCTGATAAAGCACAGAAGAATGAGAATTTTTAAGCATTGAACTTGGAAAACATGGATTCAGGTACCAACTCTCCAACCTTCCCACTAACCAGCCTTTTGATATTGATCAAATGCTTTAACTTCTTCTTTGTAAACAATAAATAACAAAACAAACACCTCAAAAGGTTGTTGTGAGGAAAGCACTTTATAAACTATAAAACATGATATAAATGTAACCTGTTCTTACTGAGTCATATACCCCATGACAAAGTTGTTTACCCTTTTAAGAAACTTTCTCTATAATGAGTTAAAATGTATTTTGGCCACTGCTAAATAGTTATAAATTCTAAATGAATGCAGTTCAACAAATTCATCAAATACAGATTAAGTGCCTATTATGTACATACACAGCATTGTACCAGAAGTTGGAAACAACTTGGACAAAAGTAAAACAGTCCTTATCTTATGTACTAAAGGGAGGAACCTTGGGTAAATAATATTGAAGTCTAGTTATAGTTTGAATACACACACAAAAAGACAATACAGACATACCTCATGCCTACCTGGGCAACAGAGACAAGCAGAAATATTCTTTCTCTACAACTAGTCTGTTAGCTGCTCAAGAACATGGACTATTTCTTATATGATTGTATCATTCTGTCCAGTTCCTTGGGCCCAGGGCCTAGCCTGGGACTGAATTCTTAATAGGTTTATTAAATGCTTAATGAATTCTGTTAAACTGAATATTGTTTCTATGCCACTTTTTCTAAACGAACTGGTAAGAATCTGAACTATTCAGTCTTCAGTCTGAAACAGTACAAACTCCTTTAGAATTACAACTGTTTCTTCTCTGTCTTTGGGTACCCAGATGTTCAATAAATGTGTATTGAATTGAATTAAATCCTTTGTGTTCAATAAATATGTTTCATCCATATGTGAGGCATTAACTATTTAATGGAAGAAAAAAAGAAGGGAACAGAAATCAATTTTATGTGACTTGAATAAGGAGAATTGGTTCCCTTTCGGGCATTTCTCAACGTGTAACTAGGGGCAAGATATTACTAAACTAATTGAGCTTTTTTTTTTCCTTATAGACTGTTTCAGGAAACACCAATGCTGACAGTATTGTGCACCACAAATTCTTACACTCAGTGAAAGCCCGATTCATCCGATTTGTCCCAATGGAATGGAATCCAAATGGAAAGATAGGCATGAGGGTGGAAGCCTATGGATGCTCATATAGTAAGTATTATTGATAACACATTGTGATTTATACATGCAAATGAGAACTAAGTGATCTGTCTCCAAGTTAGTCAAGGCTAATCCTGAAATTCCCTATATTTAGTGAGGTAACACCATCATTTTAATCACTCAACACTGCAATCTTATTCTTTCCTTCCTTTATTTTTATTTATTTATTTTTAGTGATAAATTTGCATTTCAGGAAAGCCTGTATGATAAATATTATGCATTGTGTTGAGAGTTGTCCATCTTTTCTTCCTTGTAAGTTTTCTTTTGTTCTCTCCTGTGCACTTTTTACTTTATTCTTTTCCCCCCTTCCTCCCTCACCCCCCGAAAACTACAATTAAGTGTGGATATATTTATATGTAGATATAGATATATACATACACATATACATATATACGTGCATATATAGACATATGTTTCACTAACAAATTCTACTCCTAATCTTTGTTTTTATGTTTGTGCTTATTTCTTACTTCCTTTCCCTCCTAAATCCTCTACTTTACTTCTACTTGATACCTTGCCCTCCTTACTTAGCCTAACCCCCCTCATAGGATTCCTCCCCTGTCCTCCCATTCCCATAAATCTAAACACCCTTCTATACAGCACTTTAACCTATGCCCTCACCCTCCCCTCTGGAGATCTTTCACTTATCCTCTCCCCACTCCCAATCCTTTACCATTTTATTTCTTCTCAATTTAGAATACTTTTATACTCTTCTAGGTATATATGTATTGTTCTCTCTTAAACCCATTCCTGATAAAAGTAGGTTAACAGAACTACCAGCCCTCCTTCCCCAGGTAATTTTTCTGTGTCGATTCTTCCTCTTGTACCTCATTTGTATAAAATAATTACTTTTTAGCTGTTCTAAAATGGTTGTACTTTTAAAAGTCATACCATACTCAGGTCTACCCCAGTCTTTCTTAAGAACTACCCAATTACTAATGACAATCTTAGACATATGTTTAACATTTTACATATATAAAAGGTAAACGGTCTGTACTTATTGAATCCCTTCTAATCAGTATTGGGTATGTACCTTAACTTTCTCTTGGCTCTTGTATGTCAAATCTTCTATTAACTTCAGGTTTTTTTTTTTTTTTAACAGAGTCCTGAAAATCTGACAATTGATCAGATATCCATTTTTTTCATTCAGGATTGTGCTTAACTTTTCTGGGTATGATATTTTTGGCTGGAACCCCAGTTCTTTTGCTCTTCGATATATAGTGTTCTGAGATCTGCAGTCCTTTAGTGTCTTCCCAGCTAGTTCACATGTGATTCTAAGTGTGGTACCCTCATACTTAATTTTTTTTCTTGTTGCTCTTAATATTTTATCCATGAACTACAGGTTTTGGAATTTGAATATAATATTCCTATGAGTTTTCCTCATAGGAACTCTTTCAAATGGTGATTGGTGGATTTTTTTCTATTTCTACTCCCCCGCCCCCCTTGTTGTAATGCTTTAGGACAATTTTCTTTACATATTTCTTGTATTATTTTATCTTCCTTCCTTCCTTCCTTCCTTCCTTCCTTCCTTCCTTCCTTCCTTCCTTCCTTCCTTCCTTCCTTCCTTCCTTCCTTCCTTCCTTCCTTCCTTCCTTCCTTCCTTCCTATCTTTTTTTGGCTAGGCAATGGGGTTAAGTGACTTACCCAGGGTAACACAGCTAGTAAGTGCCAAGTGGGTGAGGCTGGATTTGAACTCAGGTCTTCCTGAATCCAGGGCTGGTGCTCTATCCACTGGGCCACCTAGCTGCCCTTATTTTATCTTTTTTGATCATAGCTTGATTATTCATATCTTTTTATCATAGCTTTCAGGTCGTCCAATTATTCTTATGTTTTCTCTTCTTGATCTGTTCTCCAGATCAGTTGTTTTTCTTACAAGAACTTTCACTTTCTCTTCTGTTTTTTCGTTCTTGATATTTCGTTTAATTATTTCTTGATCTCATAACTTTGCTGGCTTGGCCTTGCCCAATTCTAATTTTCAAAGTGTTTTTTTTTCCTGCCTTAAGATTCTAGATCTCCTTTTCTAATTGGTTGACTTTCTTTTCATAATCTTGTTTTTCTTGGATTGTTATTTTTTTTAGTTTTTTGTCAATCTTTCTCATTTTATTTTTGGAGTCTTTTTAAAGTTCTTCTATAAATTCTTTTTGGGCAAGTGACCATTTGGCATTACTCTTTGGGGTAGAAAAGTTTCTTTGCTTCAATATCTTTGTTTTTGATGATGAACCTTGGTCTTCTATATTCACATAATAAATTTTCTATAGTAGGATTCTTTCTTCTTTACCTGTGCATTTATTTGTTATAATAGCTTAATTTTTATAATCTCCTCTAGTCCTGGGGTATGGGGGATGGTGCCTCTTGCCCCAGATCTTCAGTTCTCCCCTCTAGTCTGGAACCAAAGCCAAAACTCCAGCCTCCTGTAAGTGCCCTCAGCCAGGGGGCATTCTGCCCCACTGCTTCTGCACTCACCAGGCATGTGCTGATTCTTTCTTGCCCCTGCAGTTCTCCAAAGCACAGCTGGATCTAGTATTCCTTGTCAGCAGAGGTTTCCTGGATCTTCCCCAGCTCAGACACACAACTCCCCTCACTGAGAGTGGAGGGTAAAAGTTCCAGTGGCTGGGGCAGAGGTAGCCTCCCAAACCATCTAACCCCAGAGTTTGCTAGTTGTTAAGGTAGACCCTAACCTGGAGGTGTTTACTCTTCACAGGGACCAACCTTGTCCTGGGATTTTTCTTTTGATCTCAGATTTTCCCAGAAGGACCCCTGTTGTGCCTGAAGGACCCCTGTTGTGCCTCCATTCTTATTTATTTTTACCCCCCCCCTTTGCCCTGAGGTGCTATTCTCTTTTTTTGTGGGGGAAAATCTTGAGAGCTTGGAATTTTCTGACCTGCCATCTTCCCAGAATCCTCTCCCTATTCTTTGTTTCTTACATCCAATCATCTGTCAAGTTCTGTTGATTATATCCATGCAACATCTTTCTCTCCTGTGTCATCTTCCTTCTGCTCACACAAATATCTACCTAGTTCAGGCTTTTTTTAATCACCTCTGAACTAGACTATTACAGTAGCTTTTAAAATGTTCTCCCTGCATCAAGTATATGCCTAACATCATAACACCTTATAATTGCAGAAATTTACTCAATGTTTACTGAATTGAACTGATGCTTCAGTCTCTCTCTCTTTTTCTCTCTCTGTCTTCTCTCTCTCTTCTCTCTCTCTCTCTCTCTCTCTCTCTCTCTCTCTCTCTCTCTCTCTCTCTCTCTCTCTCTCTCTCTCTCTCTCTCTCTCTTCTCCCTCTCCTAGCTGAAATATTCTTGAATTACCTCAATACTAATTTCATGCTTGAAAAGCTGGAGAAAATAACCTGTGGAACTGCAATTTTGACTAATAAGAAGAAAACAGAAATTACGGAGACCTTCAAATTTCTTACAGAAAAGGAAAGCCTAATGTAGTTTAATATGCAATGTAGGGTTAGAATAAGGAAATTTCAAAAGGTTAAGGAAAGATGTACAGAATCCCATGGCCTAAAATTTTACAGAAGAAGTCAGCCTAAAGAGATAGGAAGTCTTCAAATTAAATTCTGTAGAGGCAGACAAAAATAATTTCAAAGAGGTTGAAAGTGAGAGACTCTAAAGAAACCTGTGAAAATACAACAAAATCATTGACAAACTTAGTTGTTTAAACAAAGGACATATAGAAGATGGAAGCAATGGCAGAAAAGAGAGAAGGGATAAAAGAACATGGCAGCACCCTGTGAGAATTGTGTCAGGAGTGAAAGCGCTCAAAAAAGGGCTGAGGTTGATAATCAGTGCTAAGGACAAAAATAAAATAAAATAAAATGGGGTATGCATGACTTTTAAGCTGTAATGAAGGAGAGAGAAGATTGAAAATAGTATAGACAATCACCAACGGTGGATGAGAGGAAGACAGATGATAGTGACAAGGTAGAACTACTCAAATACTATTCTGTCTGTTTTCTTTGCTAATGAGAATGATCTTTGACTGGAAAAGGACACTAAAAATGCCTAGGAGTTTAGATCTATGATGATTAAGGGAATAATTGGACAGCACCTCAATAATTCCAAGTCACATGACAATGACATGTTTTATACGGATACTGAAAGATGTGGCAGCGTAGTAAAAATTGCTGAATATAAATGAGATCTTGGAAAAGAGGTCACAGGAGAGAAAATAGTGCCTTCCCTTGAATTTTGTTTTAATGACAAAAGAGTAGAGTCTATAAAGTATGTGTTAATGAGCTTGAGAATGATTCCTAACAAAAAGGTAGAACACTTATAAGTAACTGGAAACTGAGTCAGTGATCACAGAGAGTCAATATTGTTTCATCAGGACCACATCATGCCAGATTAATCACATTTCCTTTTGTGACATGGTTACTAGCCTTATATATCAAGGGAATGTGTAACTATAGATTGTCTAGATTTCAAGACAACACTGGGCAAAGTGACTCTATCCTTGAGGAGAAGAGAAAGTGAAATGGAGTTAGACAATAATTCAGGTAGACAGATTCAAAACTAGTTGAAAGATCAGATAATGAATTAGTATCAGATTTGAAAAAAAATGTCTTAAGTACAATCCCTCAGGATTTCTCCTGTTCCTTTACTATTTAAAATCTTTGTAAGTGACTTGGGTGAAGGTGTATTTGGCAGGCTTATTGTGTTTGCAGAACTAGGGATTTCTCATACAACTATTTTATTCTGTGATGTCAAAGTTTCTAAATTGTGTTGCTTCCAGTACAACTCCTTGTGGAGATAGCCTGGTCTTTCCATGATTCCCAAGTTCATGCTACTAAGTCCAGTTTCCACTTTTTCACATAGCACATCATGTACTAAGCCATTAGAGTCTTTTTTTGTTTGTTTGTTTGTTTCTACTGTCACTAATGGTTTGAACAGATTGTTGGAATGCTTGAAATATCTGTTCCGTTTTATTAGTCTATTTGTTCTCTTTCCAGTTTCATCATAAATTCTTACATTGACT